TGAAGATGGTGAACAGGCCAACATGTCCTTTTCTAACTTTCACTGATTGCCCACCACACCCCTAAATCCCCCACTTGCAGGTTTGTCATGCTCAGGCGGCCCTGCTGCGTAGAATTCAGCTGCTTTGTCAAACAAACACATACAAAAACACAAAAACATTACTGCATGCCTTGATGAGGTTTGTCAAAAGGTTTTCTTGTCAAGGTTCAAAAGTCTGGAAGAGGTTCTGCATTGCGGAGGTCATCTCAGTACGGGCCTCAGTGAGTTGGAGTAAAAGCACTTATCACACGGCACATGACAGCAAACGGAAGCATATGATGGAATCTGACAGAACACAAGGACGGGCTTCCAGGAAGGGTACGTGGAAGCAACTGCTTCGAATGCTTCGGCAGATCTGATCGAAGAACAAAGGACAACTCAACAATCATTGGCGATCTTAGGTCTTGACTTCTGTGTGAGCCAGTTCAGACCTGGACGTCACATTATGATACCACCATATATAATATAGATCAGTGGGATGTGAATCTCTTGATTTATTTTCTTTTGATCCATGCCCATTCATTGGGAAACAAATGATATATTCCTCTTAAGTCTTGGACATATACAGCTTGCCTTTTCTCTACCAAATCCTTTTCTCATAAATAACTAAATAACAGTAAAACGACCGGGATTGCTGGATTTGCCTGGATTTGTTTGCACCAGGATCCTCCACCTTCGGGACGCAAACAAAGAATCAGAATAAACCATTCAATCAAATTCAACTTCAGAGTCTTGCATGCCATACAGTTGCCGAATGTATGGCTGGATGATGTGGGGTCTGCCAAAGCGGCTAGATTATATATGTCAGAACAATTGTTGTTCTCCAAGTGTGCAGCTGACTCTTCAATATTTCTTCTCAGGACTAAGAACATGCTGCAAGACTCAAGACAAGAATGTTGCTCTGAAATCACTTGAGGCCAGAGGGGGTGAACGAAAGCTAGCCGGGCCTCCTCGTCCAAACAAGTCGGGGGCGGGCTGCACAGTCACTCGCATTGGGTAACTGCCGGTCCACTTGCAAGTCCCGTGGGAAACTCTAGAGAAGCAGTGTTAGTATGTGCTTTGTGGTGCGTCGAGTCTCATGCAGCTAAGCAACTGCCACCTGACAGGAGCAGGTTTTGTTTGGTGCCCCCTTTCCATCACTTCTTTGGCTTGGTTTTTCCAGCGGTTGCTGTTCCGCGGTCGTTTCCTCGGCGCCTTTGGCACCGATGACATCACGGCGAAAAGGGGCAGCAACCCCAGCAGCAGCAGCAGCTGCAGCAGCAGCAAACACAACAGCAGAAGCGGCCGCAGCAGCAGGAGACGCAGCCAAGGCAGACCACCCAGCAGCAGCAGGAGCTACATTGGACAGTAATACCTTTTTGGGTGTTATGTGCAGGCGGCATTTCTTGCATCATAGCCCTACCCCGCGTACGCGACTAGTTACGGCGTGGAGTCAGGCGGTGTCATTTGAGTCTTGTGCTGCTGCTGCTGGGGGGTCTGCTGCTGCTGCTGCTGGGTGGACTGCTGCTGCTGCTGCTGGTGCTGCTGCTGCTGCCGCTGCTGCACTGGGCGCTGCTGCGCTGGGTGCTCTGCTGGCGGCGGGTCGTCTGCTGCTGCTGCTGCTGCCGCTGGGTGGTCTGCTGCTGCTGCTGCTGGTGCTGCTGCCGCTGCTGCGCTGGGCGCTGCTGCGCTGGGTGCTCTGCTGGCGCCGGGTCGTCTGCTGCTGCTGCTGCTGCTGGCGCTGGGTGGTCTGCTGCTGCTGCTGCTGCTCTGGGTCTGCTGCTTCTGCTGCTGCTGCTCCTTTGTGGTTTGCTGCAGCTGCTTGGTGGTAGACTGCAGATGCTTGGTGTGCTGCAGCTGCTTGGTGGTCCCGCTCACCGCGCGCAGGGAGGAGTCGAACCCGCGGGGGGAGGGGGGGGGTCCATAAGATTGATTTAATCAATTATTTGAGGTTTCTGAGGTGCGTCCACCCCGTCACTTAACTTGCTAAAGCAAGAGCAACTCCAGCTAGCTAAGGCTAGCTTTCGTGATGATCTTTGGCAGTAACAAGTGAATTCCTGAGTCACCGGAGGGCTCGGCCACCTGATACTTGAGCAGGGAAACACGAAAGGTAGAGACGGACCGGGTAGCTGTCGGCACATTTTCTGGTGAGGGACTGTCTCCGGTGTTTCAGGAACGTTCCCCTTGGTCAATCATGGACGAAACCAACAAAGCCAAAGGGCACAAGAAGGCTCAAGAGGAACACCGTTGCGATCAGATTGCGCCGCCCGGCTCTGCAGAGAGGCTGCGTTGCGTCGACGCTCGTTTGTGTAAAGGTGTGTGAAAACAGGCGCGCGTAAAAGTCGCAATGCGTAAGCGCTCGCATGTTAACCAGCTATGGTCCCACAGCTACGCGCACTGTGTCAGGATTGCAGTCCTGCACGCGTTGCGTCGAAGCCGCCGGTACTGCCAGGGATGGACGTCACGCTATGGTGGGTGGGTGATGGGAAGGGCGCGTAAATAGCTGTGTAGTGGTGCTCCACGATGCGGTAAGATGTCGCCACGCGAGGGTATAAGGCTGAGTCGAATGGTGCTCCGCGAAGCGAGAGGTTTCTCCACAGGGCTTTGCAGAGAGGCTGTGTTGCATCGATGCTCGTTGGTGTCGAGCAATATGGTCTGTGAACGCAGTGCGCGCTATGTCAGGCTGCCGGGCGCGCGCGCACCGCATCGAAGCCGCATTGCGCAACCTCATGGCCAGCGTCGTACTGCTGTGACTGCTAAGCGCATGACTTCACCTTATGGTGTCATGGTGTGTCCAGCTTTCTAGTAGTGCTGGCGAGGGGAGGGGACGGGGAGGGGAGGGGGGGGGGGGGGGGAGGGGGGGAGGGGAGGGGGGTGCAAAACAATTGATTTATCAATGTCCCTTTGCTTCGCAAAGCAAACTCAAGGTAGTCCTTACCAGGCTACCTTTCGTGATGAGCCCTCGGGGTTGAAGCTGCCCTTGATTTAGCCCCTGGCTCTCTTTCGACTCATCCTGCTTGAGATTGTGGAACGTGATGTCCTGCAACCTACACAGGCACTCCATGGGCAGGTAAGTACATCACACAGCAATTGAAAATCCAACTTCCCAGGACCAAACACATCAAACACCAACTTCTTCCATTCTCCTTCCAATGTCCCCACATCTCCGACTAACTAGTAACTAGTCTGTTTTTGGCGCATGGCCTCGATCGGGCGTCTGAGAGGAATGGGGTGTGTCCACCTTGGCACGACGTGACTGACAGGACCCGTTCCTCAAGAAAGACATGAGAGAAAATAGTCTTGCCATGCCCTTCCAATCCATCCGTACTCATACATCAGTATTCTTGTCAGGGCGTTACCTTTTCCAAGATCCAAGGGAGTTTGCCTTATTTGATCATTGATTCCGAGGGCCGAAAGGAAGTCCCGCCTTGAGCCACGCGTTCACACTGGTGCTGGGCCTTGGGATGAGTGTTGCGTGGAGTTGTTGATGTATGGACCCGTTTGTCATCGTTTAACAGGACCCTTCTCTTCCAACCTACTAGCGATGGCCTCCAACCCAATAGCAATAGCCTTCTCTTCCAACTCGAAGTTCCCGGATCTTCCAATCTCGGACTTCCAGCGTTCCAGGCGAAGCAAAACATGCTGGAGAAGCAGGCCTTGAAGCTTTCACGTTTTACACATGCTGAAATAACACTTAACACCTAATTAATAACTTAGGTAACTTAGGTCACCTTCGTTTCCTCATTGGTGATTGTCTTCATCTCATCTGAAAAAATGCAAGCATTCAGTAGAGAAGTGAAGGTTGAGGCATATCTTAGCCAAAACTTCCATGTAGAATGCGTTTCCACACCGAAGATTTCTTCTGAGTCTGGTGCGGGAAGGGAGGAGGAAGCCTGCAGGCAGGCCTGTTGAGAAGAGCTGAGCATCACCAAGAACTCTCAACAGCTTCTTTTATAATCCTCTAGGAACCAAATGAATAGCGCGTGAGCTAGCCTGCGTCCAGTAGGTAGTAGCTGAAGTAGCTGTGTTTAGTCCCTTACTTAAGTAAGTAGGTGCCTACTTAATCAAGTAGGAGCCGGCTTTAAAAAACAAACACAACACAATTCTTCCATCCTATCTGACCATTCTATCTGCACAATCTGGCCGTCTTCGCCTTGAAAGGTCTGAAGCTGCAATTGGAGTGTCAAGGGCCAGTGCGGCCTGACTTAAGTAACATCACAGTCGCCAAGACCTAAGGCCTTTCAAACGTGCTCTTCGAAAACACTGGCAAGTGGAAACTAAGTCCAAGAGCGACGCCTGTCTTACAGTATAGAAAACTCATTTTCTTGTATAATGATTTCAACATACTCCAAACTTCAAACTCACTCAGTTTCTCTTGAATACTCCTGGACACCTCGGGCTTCAAAGGCATAGCGAGGCCATGGGCTTGCGAGAGAAACCATGGAGAGCGAAACAAGGATCATGGCATTTGCGAAAGTTGTTCCTTTCTGTTCCCAGAAACATCCAGAAACTATTCCTGCAATTCTTGCAAGACATGCTATGAACCAAAGTCCTCTTAAAAAGGTAAACGTCATATGAAGCCTGCGCCCGTTGCTTCACTGGATTGTCTTAATCCTGGAAGCTTCTTTGGGGCGACTTTAAGGCTGCGGCAAATAACCAACTGTGGATGCATAAAACTTCAGCAAATGAGACTCAAAAAAATGAGCAAGCGAACCATTTGGCACAAAGCAGGTTCTGGAACCCGCAAACTGCCTAAACTTGCATGGTTGAAAACCTCCACAAAAGCAGCAACTTGGGAATCTCAAACCGAACAATCCGAACTCCCACGATAAAGACCAATCTTCTCCATTCTTCTGACTCACAAACAATCTCAAGATTCCGGATGGCACTAACCACCAAAGGGTAAATTTTTAACTTTTTTCGAACTGTTCTGGACCAACTGATCCGGCAAATCTGTAAGAAATGCCCGTCTTGCTCAGGCGAATGTCGAGGTCGATCACATTTCCTGCCAATTCAAGGAGTCAGGCGGGGGAGAACTTCCTTGAAGAAAGATGAACAATCCTGTGTCCAGTAGGTACTAGTTTAGGTGGCAAGTAGTTTATTCCTTACTTGATTGAGTAGGCACCTACTTGATTGAGTAGGAGCGGGCTAAATAGATAAATAAATATATAAACAAATAAATATGTATATATATATATGGTACCCCC